GCAACACTATTAAAAGCGTAATATTATTTTATTTATTTAGATAAGAAAATAAGCAAATTTCTTTGTCCCATATTAGGCATAATTTTCTCAGCTTAACAACAATTTAATTCAAATAAAATAAATTGATACTCTGATTTTTTTTTAACACTACAAAACCTGCAATAGTGTCATTTCTGAATCTCATGCTTTCCACTAACTTTTACTAATTTCATTTTGTTAGTGAATAAATGATTCCCCTGTTTAAGATTTGATTTGCATTTAGATGATAAGTTAGTTTAAAAGCATAATGAGACTGAGATGGAAATGAGGAGGCTAAGATAGCGAGCTTTCTCTTAGCATTGTGACATCTATGAAAAAAGCTGAAAGCCAAATAAAATCTATTCTGTCCAACAGGATCATGTCTGCAGTTAGATGTTGGTGAGACAGACAGAATCCATCAAAGCTCAAGAACTAATCACCATCCTTCTCTAGTTTTAATCACAAGAGACAATTACAAAGAAGGACTATGGATGAAATTACCACCACACCGACTACAAAGCCCGGTCTTCAGAGAATCCCTTATCTCCCGCATGCTTTGTCTTTCTTCCTCTCTGCCATCAGCTACACTTTCTGTGTTTTATCTCCGTCGCTTTATTCTCCTCTGCCGCCTCCCGTTAGAACAGAATAATACGAGCTCCTATTTGACCTGCATCTCATAAAGATGTGAAGACTTTCCTGATCCTTCAGCTTTCCACCACAATCAGACAAAATCAGGGCTATTTCTCTCTAGCACTATAGTTTTACCCAAAGATGATCTGTGCAATGGTGTAGTTTTATTCACACTGTTTAATGGAGACAAGGATGAAGAATTAACTTAAAGGCACACCGTGGACTAAAGAGATGACACATATGAGCTATTTTATATTATTCCTAAGGCCAAAATACAGAGCTAGACACTTTCAATGCTACCAGTGGGACTCCCCTCTTTGAATACCACCTATATAAGTTGGGAGAAGACGCACCGCCATTGGCCAGGTCATGTGACCTGGAAGAAGGTATTATTTTATGGCCACAGGCTCGTATGGAGCTAAGGCTTTAGCTCTACTACCAATCAATCAATCAATCAATCAATCAATCAATCAGTCTTTACTTTCAACTTCAATTTGCATTTTAATCGAGATTTCAGTTGCAGTAGGTGCCGTTGATCACATATATTAAAGGTGAAGGGGGACAAATGACAGCGGCCAAAAAAAAACGCTGCCGTTAGGCGCATTATTTTGGCTGCTGGGGCCCCACTGTGAAGCAGTTATTTTAGGTTTTTCTTTTTTAATAAATCTGCAAAAGATGTATTTATGATTCTCAAATTGTGGAAGAAGCTGCTCTGCTCAGATGGAACCAAAATCCTACTTTTTGCATAATGCAAAACATTATTTTTGGGTTAAAAGCAACGCAACTCATCACCCTTTAACACACCTTCCGCACTGGCAAACATAGAGGTGGCAGCATCATGGTTTGGGCCTGCTTTTCTTCAGCTGGGAAACCTGTTGGAGTCTGCAGGAGACCTGAGACTGGGGCGGAGATTTATCTTCCAACAAGACGATGAACCAAAACACAAAGTATAACCTTCAACACATCCAGGTGTTAGAATGGTCTAGTCAAAGTCCAGACCTCAATCTAATCAAGAATTAGTGAACAGAACTGAAAACTGCTGTTCAATAATGCTCTCTATCCAACCTGAGAAAAACTTCTCTCTGGATGAGCAGAACTGATACCTGCAGCCGTCAGCGCAGCGACACTTGAAAAACCATAGAAATAAGTAAAATTTTCTTAAATTAAGTGTATTTGCCCTTGATTTGAGTTAGTAAATGCGATAGTTTGCCAATGGAATCAGTATTTCTACTCTTAAAATAAGATAATTGGATAATAGTCACCTAAAAAAAGACAATCCAATCGTGTTTTCTTATTTTAAATCTAAATTGTCTGTTTCCATTGGCAAGATGTCTCTTTTATCTCCTAAATTCAAGAACATTATTATTTTAAGAAAAAATTACTAAATGACTTATCAAGATTTTGATTTTTTGAAGTGTAAAGGTACAAAGTAGGAACTCAGGGGGGCTGAATACTTTAGCTCACCCAGTTCAGTTTTTTATTTGTTAAAACAGTTTAAAATATCCAATAAATTTCGTTCCACTTGAAAATTCTTCACCAAAAAAATTAAATTTTAAAATTAAATTTTTTTTATATATATTTTTTTTTTCTTTTACTTTTTTTAAATCTATTTATTTATTTATTTTTAATATATATATATATATATAAAATAAAAATAAAAAAAATAAAAAATTATAATAATAATAAAATTAAATAAAAAAAATAATAAAAAAATTAAAAAGAAAAAGAAAAAAATTAAAAATAATAAAAAAAATATATATATATAAAAAAATTAAAAATAATTTTTTTTTATACATTTAAGTTTGAGTCCTGAAATGAGTTCTGATGCAGTAAAAAAAAAAAAAAAGTATTTTTATTTTCTCAAATAAAGAAATCTACTGGGATAGTTTTAGGAATCTGAAGATGAAACAGTTGTGGTTTTTTTGAGTTGAGTAATTTTTCAGAGTTTATTCCCTATTGGCTGAAAAGAAAGAAGAAACAGAAAAGCTGCTTGAATTTCCCACATTAATCATCTTTTATCCAGATGAAAATCAATAGAAATAACTGAACATCAGAGTGCAGATAAAGCAAACACTAAATTTAAACTAGTTTCTTTAAAAAGAAGGTTGGAAATTCTTTTAACAAACAGGCTTTTGTACAAAATATTTAATGCATTTCGGTCAATGTGTTTAATACTTTTACTCATAACAGTTCTTATAAACATATACTTTGATTTCTATTAATATGTTGATTAGTTTCAACCAGAGAAATTAGGACACCTACAAAATATGTTCTGTTTTTGGAACATTGGTAGGAGGCCAGCATCTCCATGTGGAAAGACTGATGTGCTGCACCAGGACGTGAAAAAAGGAAAGAAAAAATCATTTCGAACAAGAAAAATGTAAAAGCGTCCATATCTTATCTTGATGGACGGACGGACGAATAATTTTGTTTCATTAAAAATGTTGAAAGCAGCTTCTTGAGCTGCAGCTTTTATTCTTTATTATTCTATTGTTCTTGATAAAACGCACGCTGATTGCAAACAACCTGAGAAAGAGAAGCAGCTTTTCCCCTGCGAGGAAGAGCAAAGCAGAGCAGACGTCCAGCTGTGATTTCTCCTGCTTCTCCTCGCTGAAACTTAACCAGACTGGAAAACTCTCAGAGACGACTCCCCGTCTGGCTTCTCTTTTCCATTCTCCGCTTGGCGCCTGTTCTTGTTGATTCTCTATCTGGTTTCAGGAGAAGATTAGAAATTAATCTAACCTAAAAAAGGGAAAGATAGAAAGAAGGTTAGAGGGAAAACAAGGACTGAAGAGCCTGAGTGAGATAAAGAATATAGCAAACAATTCGCTAAGAGTAAAATATGCTTTATTGCTCCATCATTCTAATTTCCACTTAATTCTTAATGAACTGTCTTTGCTTTTCTTCAGATAAACACGCCTGAAACTAAAAGGAAAAACTTCAGCTTGGATAAAATAAATTGTAAAATCAGGGCTAGATTTTCAGTTCAATCACTGCCAGCTACATTCTTTTATCATCCAGAGTCTTTTAAGGTCGCCCAGAAAAAATCCAAGGTTTTATAATTAATAAACGTTAGAATCATTGTTGTTAACATTTTGCTCAGAGGGCTTTGCTGCAACTATTGGAACACGAGTATGTTAAAATAACTCTGATTCTAGCTAACTAGCATTTTTAATCTAACTTATAATTTTCTACACACTAGTGTTCATTCCATTCATCCTACCTGTTCAGCCAGGCCAACAAAGACCCTAACGACCCCCCTTTCAGAGACATAGACCAGTGTTGGGTATTGCTGGCTTACAACGACCTCCATTCCTAAGGGGCGGGGCCAATCTTCTGCTTCAGTTTTCTAAATGTTTTCTAAACAAAACAAAGGTTTGTTTCTGGTCCACTCTACATTTTGAATTGAAATAGCTTCCTGGATGGGAAGAGAAACGTCTTCAGACTTGGAAACAAAGTCCAGCGGATTATTTTTAAAATTTTATTTTTTTGGAATGACTCTGACCTGAATGACTGAGAATCTTCAGCAGTAGATTTTCCTCCAGGAACTTTCAGACATTCAGGAATCTGTCAGTCAAACATCAGTTTCAGCCTCTCTTTGCCTGTTGTGGTTCTTTCCTTTTTTTTTGTCCCTGACAGCTTCATAGAGGTGTGTGTGTGGCGGGAGGGGTGGGGGGGTGTATAACGTCTTGCAGCTACAGGTGCATTATGGGTAACCTGTTTGCATAGGTCAGACTCAGCAGCGTCCTGTCTGTCTGAAGGCAGACTGCTGCCTTAGGAATTGACCTTGTCTAGTTTCTGACCTTACGTTTACCCCCCCCCCCACACACACACACACACACACACCCTGACTCCATCTGTCTTTTTATTTTCTCCTTGTTCCTTTTCAGGCACCTGGTTAAGGTCCGATGAGACGGTGTCTCTGAAAACGAAGCGAGCAGACTTTGCTGCTGCCTTCCTGCGCGGCAGGATGGTGGTCGCAGGTGGACTTGGTGAGTTAGAAGCAGAACATCAGATATAAACAACATGGCTGCAGACAGGAAAGGTTTCCATTAAATCCTTGTCTGCGATAAACTGAAGCAAGAGTGTGACGCCTTAATGAGGGCGGCTCCTTAATGTCACCTTTAGGTCATGAGCCCACAGCTTTGGACACAGTCGAGGCTTTTAACCCTCAGAAGAAGAAATGGGAACCTTTAGCCCCCATGAATTTCCCCAGATGCTCTGCCTCTTCCATCGTTATCAAAGACCGCCTCCTGGTGGTGGGAGGAGTTAACCAGGTAAGCGGCCTCCAGGGTGAACTACCACACGTTTTTAAAGTTGTAACGGGCAATAGTTGCTCATTCCTGTTTTATTCAGCTCTGTCCCGGGGCGACTAGGACCTCAAAACATCTGGGTTCCTAGGGTGGGGGGCTGAAAATAGACGTACACCAAAAACCAATCAAACCAATACTAAGTTATCACATCAGTATATTTATATAATGCAAACAACAACAAACATAAAAGCACATTATAAAAAAAACATTATTAGGTATATATTTTTTTTGTCCATAAATCCTCCCCTTCTGTGTCTTTGTAAAAGTAATGATGTGATTTCAATGGTCCAATAATGGGTCACAAACCTAAAAAAAATTATGTGTTAGTTTAATAATGGAGAAGCTATTAGTCAGCTTCATATTTTTATATATATAAAAACTATTTATTTTCTGAGAATGTGTTTATTTAAGAGAAACTATGGAAATGAATAAACATCTAGAAAAAGTAGACTATATTCTATTATTTTCCATGTTATAATTTATTTATATATTACATGTTATATATTATATTATTTATATATCATATTTATTTATATATAATATATTTTATGTTGTTATTTCCCAGGTTGTTAATTCTTCTTTGCCTTTTCTATAAAGTGCTTTAAATCAGTCCTAGCTGCTTTTATCAATGCTGGCTCAGATCCTGACCTTTGGAAAAGGAGGCAGGGAAAGCAGGATAGCCTCGCTGCATGCAGCATGCAGTTAGCCTGGCTGCATACAGTTAGCCTGGCTGCACGCAGTTAGCCTCGCTGCATGCAGTTAGCCTCGCTGCATGGAGTTAGCCTCGCTGCATGCAGTTAGCCTGGCTATATGCAGTTAGCCTGGCTATATGCAGTTAGCCTGGCTGCATGCAGTTAGCCTGGCTATATGCAGTTAGCCTGGCTGCATGCAGTTAGCCTGGCTGCATGCAGTTAGCCTGGCTATATGCAGTTAGCCTGGCTACATGCAGTTAGCCTGGCTGCATGCAGTTAGCCTGGCTATATGCAGTTAGCCTGGCTACATGCAG